GATGAGCAATCCCCCAAAGCTCCGCGTTCGCGACTGTGGCATCGCGTTCGCGATGGACAAATCCACCCTTGTCCCCATTTACCTTACGCGATCGCGAGAGTGACTATGCGATCGCGATGAACAACAGGCTTGAGCACCTGTAGCAGAAAATCTGCAACTTTTCCTTAAGTTCAAAACTTCCCGAATCACATCCGAAACACACCTGAGCCCTCGGGGCTCCTAACCAAACATACGTACTAACTCAACAACATCATACGAACTTATCCGTGCGATCAAATCGCCAAAATAACCTCAATAACAACGAATTAAACCTCAAAATCAAAGAATTTTTCTCAAACTTCATAAAACATCAACTTTAGCAATTTAGGTCCGAATCACGTCAAACGATGTCCGTTTTTCACCAAATTTCACAGAAACATCTTAAATCATATATAAGACCTGTATCGGGCACCGGAACCAAAATACGGGCCCGATACTAACATGTTTTAATCAAATTTCATTTCCAATTTTCTTAAACAATTTCAAAAAACAATTTCTTTCAAAAATTCATTTCTCGGGCTTGGGACCTCGGAATTCGATTCCGGGCATACGCCCAAGTCCCATATTTTCCTACGGACCCTCCGGAACCGTCAAATCACGGGTCCGGGTCCGTTTACCCAAAACGTTGACCGAAGTCAAATTTATTCATTTTATAGTCAAAACTTATCATTTTTCACAGATTTTCATATTTAAGCTTTCTGACTACGCGCCCGGACTGCGCACGCAAATCGAGGTGACTCTAAATGAGGTTTTCAAGGCCTCGGAAACACAAGATTAAATTTAAAAGCAAGTGATAACCTTTTGGGTCATCACACTCAATGACATCGTTCTAACCTTTTCTTAAGAAAATAAGTACAATAAATCTCGAAACAAACACAAAATCAAGGCACTAAATGCATGTATCAATTTAATACAAAATCTGAGTCAAAATTCAAGAAAAAATGGAAATAGTAAGTACTTCAATGACTCCCGCGTTGAAAAGCAAAACAGTTACTACTATTTCCCAAAAACAAAACTTATACTCCCTTCGGTCCAAAATAAGTGATTTTTTGGTCTTTTTCTTGTGGTCCAAAATAAGTGATTTTTCCAGATTTCAAGAATGAATTAATTATTTTTTTTCCTACATTGTCCTTGAAGTAAATGGTGTTGGAATATGTGTTAGGAGTATTTATGTGAGATAGTAAAGGTTAATATGGTCAATTTCATTGCTAATTAATGCTAAAAGGTGAATTTCTTAATTTGTGTGAAAACATCCAAAAAAAAAATCACTTATTTTGGACCGGAGGAAGTACTACGTGTTTATGTTCTAAAGTACTCCGTACTCTGTAGTAAACTTGTCTACCGACAAAATTTAAGGCAATCAAAAAATTTATTTTTGGTAATAACACAACTACACAAATTTGGTAGTAATATCCTTCTTTTCTTTTCTTTTCTTTTCTTTTTTCTTTGGTATGAGAAAATCCCCCTTCAAGTCATAGCAATTCTTGTTTGTTTTTTTCCTTCCTCGTGCCGTAACAGACCAATAGGGTGGCGCTTTACATCATAGGAATTAGGAAAAACATCATTGACTCTATTAAGCTGGAGTGTCAGACTCACATTGGTCAGAAGTTGAACTGGTATTTTCACAATCTTTCTTCTTCTTTCCTTAGATCTAGGAATAGTCTTTCCAACAGAAAGAAGAAGGAAACTGCAGATCCCATATTTCATACATTAGAGATACAACTCTCTCTTTCTTCCTCCTCTCTTGTTCATATGATATGATCATATGAAACAAGGATAAAAAAAATAATAAAACCCCAGAAAAAAAACATTTCTTTTTTATTTGATTAGTGTATAGAGAGGGACATAGATATAGATAAATATAGGGAGATGGGTATTCAAGAAAATGGGAATGGGGGTGTTCTGAAGTATAAGAGGATGGATTCTGATGCAGTGGAAGAGGATGGTGTATTATGTGAAGAAAAAGGAAATGACAGCAGCAGAAAATATGTTTTGGTTTGTGCTATCTTTGCCTCACTTAATTCTGTGCTCCTTGGATATGGTTGGTATATCTCTCTACTTCTTCTCCAAATAATAATAGTAACTGTTTATTTTTGTCCTGTTGTGTTTTTTTCTTTTATCTATTTCTTCTACCTTTATATATGTGGATTAGGATTCCATTTGAACTATTATAAGCTTGGAAATGAATCTTTTCATTTTTGTGATAAGGGCCCTAATGCTAGAAGACACTGGATTATGCTCAGGGGCGGAGCTATAGTGCTGGGAGTGGGTTCGGCCGAACCCAGATTCTTTAGTTCGAACCCCGTATTTATCTTAAAAATTCCATTGAATATGTATAAATTATTAATATAGAACCCAGTAACTTCAGACAATTAAAATCCCGAAACGCATAAGCTTGAAATCCTGGCTCCGCCTTTGATTATGTTGTTTGTCATTATGCTTTTTTCGTCATCATCATAAAGCTCCAAGATTTATAGACATTAGAAGGATTTTATTATATTAATATCTCAGTGGATTTAGTTTATTTTATTATTTACCTCTAAAAGAACCTTATAAGTAGCCAAGACCTCCTTTTGAGCAAGGTAGAATTGTTGGCATCTGCTCTTGGCAGTTCAAATGAATGATTAGTGTCTTTGGGTTTAGCATTTTGATCTGACTTCCCTTTAATGGGTCGTTTGGTTCGTAGACAAGTTATGCTGGGATTAGTTATTCTAGTATTAGTTATCCTGTTATTATTTCTTATTGAATGTTTGGTATGCTGTATTAATCTTGGGATTGTTAATTTTACTGCTTTATCCCGTGATAACTTATCCTAAGATTACTATTTCACTCTCTGGCAAGTATAAGTTATCCCGATACTATTTTTAATCATGGGATAACAGTAACCAAACAAGGGATAAGGAGATATTAAATTTTTATCCCACGATTATTTTTGCTTATCCATCGTACCAAACGACCCCTAATAGTGCAGTATAAAAGCCAAATGCTTTTTGTATGTTGACCTCAATGTTTTAGTTGGTTATCTGTTTAATTGAAAGCTAGCATCTAATAGGAACAATTCCATATACAGATGTTGGTGTTATGAGTGGAGCTATTATCTTCATTCAGCAAGACTTGAAAATTACTGAAGTACAAGAAGAAGTCCTTGTTGGAATCCTAAGCATAATTTCACTTTTGGGTAGTTTAGCAGGAGGAAAAACATCAGATGCCATTGGCAGGAAATGGACCATGGCTTTTGCAGCCATTGTGTTTCAATCTGGAGCTCTTATAATGGCTCTTGCTCCTAATTTCAAGGTGTTAATGATAGGAAGGTTTTTGGCTGGAATTGGTATTGGTTTTGGAGTTATGATTGCTCCTGTTTATATAGCTGAGATATCACCTACAGTTGTTAGAGGGTCTTTCACTTCCTTCCCTGAGATATTCATAAATCTTGGAATTCTTTTAGGTTATGTTTCGAATTATGCTTTTTCTGGTTTATCCCCTCATATAAATTGGAGGGTCATGCTTGGTGTGGGGACTCTCCCCTCAGTTTTTATTGGTATCGCGCTATTTGTTATTCCTGAATCTCCAAGGTGGTTGGTGATGAAAAATCGGATTGATGAAGCGAGGGTGGTGCTATTAAAAACTAATGAAAATGCAAGTGAAGTGGAGGAGAGGTTAGCAGAAATTCAGCAAGCTGCAGGGCATGTTAATGCAGAGAAATATGAAGAGAAAGCCGTGTGGCGTGAACTGCTAAATCCTTCACCTGGAGTTAGAAGAATGCTGATTACAGGTTGTGGGATACAGTGTTTTCAACAGGTCACAGGTATAGATGCAACTGTGTATTATAGTCCAACAATTTTTAAGGATGCCGGAATTAAGGGTAACACTCAACTCCTGGCTGCAACTGTTGCTGTTGGATTCACAAAAACAATATTCATTTTGATAGCCATATTTCTCATTGACAAAGTTGGTAGGAAACCTTTGTTATATGTCAGTACAATTGGTATGACTACTTGTCTGTTTGGTCTTGGCCTCACACTTTCTTTACTGGGGAATGGTTCAGTTGGAATCAAATTGGCAATTTTATGTGTATGTGGAAATGTAGCATTCTTTTCCGTGGGGATTGGTCCTATTTGTTGGGTCTTAACATCTGAAATCTTCCCTTTAAGACTTAGAGCCCAAGCATCAGCTCTTGGTGCAGTGGGAAGCAGAGTTAGTAGTGGTGTGGTTGCAATGTCTTTCCTCTCAGTATCTCGTATGATTACTGTTGGAGGAACATTTTTTGTGTTTGCTGCTATATCAGCTATATCTATTGCTTTTGTTCATAAATGTGTTCCAGAAACAAAGGGGAAATCGTTGGAAGAAATCGAAATGATGTTCCAGAATGATAGGCCACAGCAAGGTGGTGAATTGGAGCTTGAAGATGTCAAACATCTAATGCAGACACAATGAAGAGGCATATGATATCATAGTTTTAGCAGCACTGAAAAGAAAGTTGGCATTTGCTCGCGAGACACTTGAGATAAAGATATAAAAGAAATTACACTCATTCGTCGCTAGGGCTGAAGCTGTCTTGTACCTTGATGACATTGGAATATTTGATATCCAGAAACTTAGAATACATAGACTTTCCTCCTCTTCTTCTTTTCCTTTTCCTTTTCTTTTTTTGTAAAAACAAGAGTAGTGATATTGAACATCTGTACATAGGATCCAATTGGTATTTCACAAAGACTTTTGTTGGACCACTGTTTTCTTCTTCTGTTTCCTTGGCATTAAGAGTTACAGTGGATTACATTACCTTATATCTCTGTGTGTTACCCATAGGGATTATTGTTACCCATGCATTTTTCTCAAGAACAATGGTCAATGGTTTAACCTTATTTTCCCTTTGCCTTATCTTCCTTTCATCTTTCTGTTTTTCTTGAATTTTTTTCTTTAACAAAACGCGCAGAAATCTGAAGTTTCTGTCATGTAATGGTTAACTGGAAGATGAACAAGAGTGAATAAATGCTAAATAGCAAGTCAAAGTTTTGGTCAGTCCTCAATGGTGAAGGAATTAAATGTACCGCCTTTTTCCATATAAAAACTCATCCTCTTCTAAGGTCTTTAAAGAATAATAGTAGCAATTATTTTGAGCATTTTGTAGATATTGAGTTGCAGGTACACCAAACAGATAGACCTGAAAATGAAAGAACTTAAAGGACCACATGCACTAATAAAAAGAAAAGGACTGATCATCAAAGTTTCACCAGCTAAAACATTAATACTCCTACCTTTTTTAGTCCTGCAAGTTGGGTAAATTATAGACTTTGTAACACCAAATACACCAATTTTGATCAGCAATGCAATTGGAGAGGTGAGTAAAAAACAGATAAAAAGACGAAACGAGATTGGCCCAAGTGTGGAGTAGTATCTACTCAAAAGACAGCAGTCATGTGCAGCATATGCATTTCCTAAGAAAACTTAACCAACACTTAGCATTGTACCCCAACACTGCTTGCAATCCCAAATTGAGCAATTTCAGGAAAGTTTATTTAGCAATTGACCGCTAGATTAAGTATAGTTCGATCTCCATCTACAATTTTTTTTTGTTGCAAGGTAGAGAATATGGGATATGGAGAACCTCACATCCTAGTACCATGCGACCACAAAACTTAATCTCCTCTGGCCTCTTCAGAAAAACTCAGTTTAATGACATTATTGTAGTCTTGAGAGGATTAATATGAAGATCACTATAGGATACAAATTCAGTTTTAATACAAATTCAGTTTTAATAAAGTAATGTAGGCAGTGAAAGCTCAATAATCAGTGTCAAGAAGCCATCAATTAGCAACTGTCAGACAGACTAGTCCTGGTCAAGGAGCAAAAGAAGCATCAAGAAAGTTAGGAGCTGCTGATTCTGTATGTTTGGTGGTCTTTATTTAAAATGATTTTTACCAGATAGAAGAGATGAAAGAAAATTTCCAAATGTTCTCCATAGTAATCTGCTTCTGATCAACAACCTAATCTGCACCAACTATGGAGATATATACGCTGAAGGTGGTTGGTTCACAAGATCTCCATGACCTTTCTGCACAACTACATTCACATGGAACTAACCGGATAAAAATTATGCATTACTTTATTAGTTAGTAGTGTAGTTTCTGTATAACTAACTATTAGAGTAATTTCAGAAGAAACTTGCTGTCTGACCTATTCTCAGACAGGTAGCACCTTCGTCTCCTACACAGATTTAGAGGGAAAAGTTTCACTTGCTTCCATTGAGCCAGCATACTTTCATGAACAACAATGCGAACAAACTCTGGACCAAAATTAAAAGTAAGGACAAGAGCTAATCAGTAGTAGCTCAAAGGTTTGTTCAGTGTATAGGTGAACAGCCTTACAACACATATAGTGGTCCTGAATATTCACCATTTTACAGCCGCCCTCTCACCTTCGCTTCCAACTGCTTTTGTACCTTAGATATTATGGACAACTGAAGTATTTGCCAAAGTCAAACAAAGAATCAAGATATTTATCCATGTAAATTGTGTGCCAATAGCATTTCAGTCACTGATAACTTAACAATATTTTGTTGTTTTATCATATATAATTTGCTAATCACATAGACAATGAAGTAGAATACATGGATCCTGCATTATTTCTGTACCACCTAAATTTCTTCAAGACAGCCTATGGAATGAACTAAGATGGTCCATAATCCTATAATAATTAATGAAGAATAAAACAAGTCGATAACTAATCATTTGTGGAGTATACTTACAATTTTGCTGCGTAAGAATTGCAGAAAACACAACAATCTGACATTATATGTTGGATTATGCTTCCTTCTTCAACCTTAAGCCCTCTACTCTGCTTGTTCCAAAGATGCACAGCCAAACTTTGGCTCTGTATCTGCCGGAGTTTAGAAAGCAACCATTTCGAATGAGTCTCGTTCCTCGGCCCAAGAAAGAGACTACCAATCCTACTCCAATCAACTGGATAAAAAGCCAGCGGAGGCAACACTGTGAAATTGTATCCATCCCTTCCACTTACCCTTGACACAACCCTTGAAACCAAGTAAGGACCATTGTGACCCCATTTGTTCCCATCAAATGTAAGTGCAAATTCTTCAATGAACTTGTACAACAAAGGATGCCCCTTATCAAAAATCATTACAGCATTATTTAACCTGCTCCAATTTCTTGTTTCAACATCAATAGTTTGTGCCCCAATTACATTTCTTAGCTTCCCAAAACTTCTCAACACTATAACATCAGTATCTAAATAAATCCCACCAAACTTGTACAATAAACCAAGTCTAAGCAAATTTGAGAGGTTTTGACCTATAGAAACTTCCCCTGGATCTATATTACCCTCCATTAAGCTATCAATCCAGCCTTGAGCAATAGTATGTTTAAATAAGTAATTAAAATCAGGTGAAACTGCAGTTACCTTTAATCCTTTCTCAAAGAAAGGCTTTAAAATTTTCATTCCTTTTGGTGAATCCATTGAAGTGGACATAATTACCAAACAGCCATTTGAATGTGCTTTGAATAAACTCTCAATAGCAAACTGTTCCCTTTCACCAAAAGATTCAATTGAAGAAATCCAAGTCATAAAAAACCTATACTTACAGGAATTATTGTATGATTTAGCTCCAAAAAACTCCTTCATTCTCAATGAGAACTCATTAATTCTTGCCCCTGAACCAAGAACTTTCACCAAAGACTTCTTTTCTCGCCTTCTTCTAGGATTATAAGCCATTGAATTATATGTAAAACTCACAAAGTTTGGATTTTTGCGGGAAATTGTCAATTGGGTGTTTGTTTTTTGACGTGGGGGTTCCTCTTTTACTGCATATATAATAGAAGATGAGCGTTTAGTTGAAGAAGATAAAGAAACCAACTTTCTTGATTTTCTGGCGACATTTTCAGTTAAAAAGCTAGAAATCTCCGGCGAGGAGTTGGCCGGAACTGGAACTTGAATATAGAACACAGTGGAACTGTTGTAAGCTAAGAGAAAAAGCAGAGAACAAGAAACAATTGCATATAAGGACCTTTTAGTCAACTGGAAATTACAACAATGGTGAAAAAACGGAGACAAATTAGAAATGGTAATTCTCTTAGTATTATTAATTACAATGTCCATTGTCTTTTCTTGGACATAAAAATGTCTCCTTTTTCATAGCTGATGTCTGAAGTATTTTTTAGGTGTGAGAAAGAGATGAAGGTAAGAGTTCAGCAAGTTGAAGAGCATTTTTTCAGTGGTGGAGGCGGCAAAAAAAAAGTGCAGGAAAATTGAAAGATGGTTTTTTAGTGGGTGTTGTGTTGTGTAGTGTGCTTTTTGGAAATTTTAGAGGCAAAAAAGATTTTATGGGATGAAAAGTTCTTGGGTTTTGAGCCTGTTTTGTACTTTTGTGAAGTGAGGGAGAAAGAGAGAATGAGAATTAAATGTAGTGCAGTAGTAGAGTTGGTTGATTGGGTTCTTAGGCTTGGCAGTTGGTTTCCCCCCTCTGCTACTCCTTTATGAAGAACAACTATATAGCATTGGCTCCTTACTTCCCTCGTACTCCTTCCGGTCCAAAATAAGTAATTTTTTTGCTTTTTTCTTGTAATCCAAAATAAGTGATTTTTCCAGATTTCAAGAATGAATTAATTATTTTTTTTCCTACATTGTCCTTGGAGTAAATAGTATTGGAATATGTGTTAGGAGTGTTTATGTGAGGTAGTAAAGGTTAATATGGTCAATTCTATTACTAATTAATGCTAAAATGTGGATTTCTTAATTTGTATGAAAACATCCAAAAAATCACTTATTTTGGACCGGAGGGAGTAACACTTTAAATAGAAGGAGCAATTTCTTTTCGGCTATTAGGGACTGCATATTTCCAATGAATATCTGACAAAGTTAATTTACTTTACTCTTTTGGTCAAAGCAAGCGCAATTTACTGTTTTGACTTTTCCCGCCAAAGTGATTATGGTATTAAACCTGTTTGGGCCATTATAATTTATAACTACCTATAATGTGGTTTAAGAAGTACAGTAATTTTTTTTTGTGAGTTTGGCAATCACATATGAGATCTCTTTATTGCATAGCTCATGTCAAAGTAGATTTTTATTTGACGCTTAACAAGTTATCGCACGATCAGACACTCGTGTCTTGACATCATCAGTAATATACTTTCGTGAGTAGGAAAAGTATATGTTAGATATTTTAATTAGTTAGTTTTTGCTTTCCTAGTTTTATGGGTATATGGGGGAGTTGTGTACTTAGTGGACTAAGTGGGTTTGTTTTAACTTCCTTTATGGCTTAGTGCTTTAGATAATGTAGGAACTGTATTGCCTTTATAAAAGGCTTGTTCGTTGTTGAATTTTATTGCAGTAATTTTTATCTCCCCAAAATTGCTTTGTGTTTGTCTAGTTTTCTTCCAGATTTCTAACAGTAGTATCAAGAGCTAGGTTAGATCTTTGAGGGAGGGAGAGTTTACCCAGAACTTTGTTCATCTATGACTTCAGAGAACAACTTTGTGCAAGCAGCCATTCCTCGTTTTGATGGCCATTATGACCATTGGAGCATGCTCATGGAAAACTTTTTGAGATCCAAAGAGTTTTGGGCAGTCGTTGATGGTGGGATTCAAGAACCTGGAGCGGATGTTTGTTCTAACAAATGCTCAAAAGACAGAACTTGAAGCACAAAAGTTGAGAGACTTGAAGGCAAGGAACTATCTTTTCCAAGCCATTGATCGTTCGATATTGGAAACAATTCTTTGCAAGGATACGTCAAAGCAAATCTGGGACTTTATGAAGAAGAAATACCAAGGGAATGCAAGGGAAAAGCGAGCACAACTTCAAACTCTACGAGGTGAGTTTGAAACCCTGATGAAATCGGGAGAGTCGGTGTCGTTGTACTTCTCACGCACAATGGCAATTGCAAACAAGATGCGAATTCATGGAGAGAGGCTTGCAGATGTTACCATCGTCGAGAAGATTATGCGATCCATGTTGCCTAAATTTAATTTTGTTATCAGCTCCATTGAAGAGTCGAAAGATCTTGATACTCTTTCACTTGATGAACTACAAAATTCTTTGATGGTTCATGAGCAGAAAATTGTTAAGCAAGATACGGAGGAGCAAGCCTTGTAAGCAGTCACAACCTCCAAAGATTCTGTGGGTCGAAGGAACAAGTGGAAGGGAAGAAACTCAAGCAAAGCTGAAGAAGGAACTCATAAAAAGAATGGTCAGCATGGTCGTGATCAACAACACTCGTCAAATGGGAAGCCAAGGTCTGCAGATAAGTTCCACATTGAGTGTTATAGGTGTCACAAGTATGGCCATTATCGTTTTGAATGTCGTACAAATTTGAAAAATGTACGTGGAGAAAACTCTAATTTTACAGAAGTAACTGAGACGGAGGAGGAGGTTTCTTTGTTGATGGTGTCTCAATCCACAGAAGAACACCACACGGATTTATGGTATTTAGATACAGGTTGTCGCAACCATATGTGTGGAGAAAAATCTGCATTTTCTGAATTGGATGAAACTTTTCGCACAACAGTCAAGTTAGGCGATAATTCCCGACTTGCTGCCAAAGGAAAAAGGGAAGGTAAAAGTTCAAACAAAATCTTCATCTGTGCATATGATGTGTTCTTTGTACCAGATTTAAAGAAAAATCTTATTAGTGTGGGTCAACTTCAAGAGAATGGCTATGAAGTGTCTATCAAGCATGGAATTTGCAAAATCCTAGATTCTAATCTTGGGTTGATTGCTGAAGCTAAGATGACTGCAAATAAACTTTTTTCGCTTCATGTGCAAGGTATTGGCTCTACCAATTTTTGTTTTTCAACAAAGTTGGATAGTCAAGCATGGCTCTGGCATTACAGATATGGACATCTAAATTTTGGAGGACTAAAACTGTTTCAGTAGAAGAAGATGATTTCTGGTCTTCCTAATTTTGATACTCCAGCAGATATTTGTGAAGATTGTGTCGTTGGAAAGCAATCTCGCGATAGCTTTCCAAAAGGAAAAACGTGGAGAGCTAAAAGGCAGTTGGAACTAGTTCACTCAGATATTTGTGGACCAATAAATCCAATTTTCAATGGAGGCAAACGCTATTTTATAACGTTTATTGATGATTTTAGCAGGAAGACATGGGTTCATTTTTTGCAAGAAAAATCTGAAGCTTTTATAGCTTTTAAAAGCTTCAGAGCTCTTGTTGAAAAGGAGACAGGATGTTCCATAAATATCTTTCGCACGGATCGTGGAGGGGAGTATCTTTCACAAGAATTTATAGGTTTTTGTGAATCTCATGGGATACGTCGGCAACTTACAGCAGCTTATACTCCTCAACAAAATGGAGTATGTGAGAGGAAGAATCGGATAATCATGAATGTTGTGCGGAGCCTGTTGCAAAAGAGTCATATTCCTAGAGTTTTTTGGCCTGAAGCTGTTTGCTGGAGTGTATATGTTTTGAATAGAAGTCATTCTCGTGCTATTTAAAACATGACCCCAGAAGAAGCTTGGAGTGGACAACAACCAAATGTTGAACACTTTAAAGTGTTTGGTTGTGTTGCATTTGCTCATGTTTTAGATCAGAAAAGAACAAAGCTAGATGACAAAGCCATCAAGTGTGTTTTCCTTGGTGTTAGCAAGGAGTCAAAAGCCTGCAAGTTGTACAATTTAGTTAGCAAGAAGATAATTATCAGTCATGATGTGGTGTTTGACGAAGATAATTTCTGGCCATGGGAAGAAAATCCAAGCAACCAACAACTTTCTTTAGATCTTGATGACGGAGTCAGGGAGCAAGAGCAACCAGTGACTGAAAATGAAGGTTCTTCTACCTGGGTAAAGCAAGAAGGCATCAATTCCCGACCTCAACGAGATCGAAGAACACCAGCATGGATGGCAGATTATGAGGTTAGTGAAATTCATCAATCTGAAAATAAATATTCTCTTACCTATGTAGCTTTATTTTGTGATTGTGATCAAGTAAGATTTGAGGATGCCTATAAAGATTTGAAGTGGCAGAAAGCAATGGATGTTGAAATTGCATCAATAGAAAAGAACAATACTTGGAAGCCTATTGATCTTCCAAAAGGGCAAAAGTCGATTGGAGTCAAGTGGGTTTATAAAACCAAACTCAATGAGAATGGTGAAGTTGACAAGTGTAAGGCTCGCTTGGTGGCCAAAGGATACAAGCAAGAGTATGGTGTGGATTATAAGGAGGTCTTTGCTCCGGTAGTCCGACTTGATACCATCAGATTGGTATTGGCATTGTCAGCTCAAAACAAATGGCCAATTTATCAACTGGATATGAAATCAGCATTTCTACATGGAGAGTTACAAGAACAAGTATATGTTGATCAACCTCATGGTTATGTGAAGCATGGAAGTGAACATAAGGTTTATAGATTGAAAAAGGCATTATATGGGCTAAAACAAGCTCCCCGAGCTTGGTACAGCTTACTAAATGTCCATATGAGCATACACTTTATACAAAAATTGAAGATGAAAAGCTTGTTATTGTATGTTTATATGTAGATGATTTGATTTATACCGTGAATGATTCTACCTTACTTGAAAAGTTTAAGAAATCAATGATGACTGAGTCTGATATGTCTGATCTTGGCTTGATGCACTATTTTCTCGGTATTGAAGTTAAGAAATCTGCCAGTAGAATTTTTATTTCACAAAAGAAATATGTCCAAGAAACTTTAGAAAGGTTCAGATTGCAAAGTTGCAATTCTGTCACTACACCAGCAGAATTGGGACTGAAATTGGAGAAGAATCTACTGGAAAGCAAATCGACAGCACTCTTTATAAGCAGATCGTGGGATGTTTAATGTATGCAACAGTCACCAAACCTGATATAATGTATTCTGTTAGTCTTGTTAGCAGGTACATGGAGCACCCAAAAGAGACTCATTTGTTGGCTGCTAAAAGAATTTTCAGGTATTTGCAAGGTACCATTGATTATGGTATTTTGTACAAGAAGAAGGAAAGTCAGAGTTAATTGGCTTTACAGATAGTGACTTTGCTGGAGATAAAGAAGACAGAAAAAACACTTCGGGTTATGTGTTTATTCTTGGATCAGGAGCTGTTTCATGGTGCTCCAAGAAGCAACCAATTGTTACGTTATCCACCACAGAAGCAGAGTTTGTTGCTGCAACTGTGTGTGCTACTCAAGCAATTTGGTTGAAGAAGGTACTTGCTGAACTCCATTTCCCGCAGCAAGAACCAATTCCAATTTACTGTGACAATGGTTCAGCAATTAAACTTTCAAAGAATCCAGTATTGCACGGAAGGAGCAAACACATAGATGTCAAATTTCACTTTTTGAGAGATCTCACAAAGGATAAATTCATTGATGTTGTCTACTGCAGAAATGAGGACAAAGCTGCTGATATCTTTACCAAACCCCTTAAGCTAGCAATTTTCAAAAAATTAAGGAAGCTACTTGGAGTTTGCAAGTTAGGGGAGGGCTCTTGTGATTGATGTGATTAAGCTGAAAG